GGGGGGGGGGGTCATACTTACTTGTCAACCTTTTGGAATCCTTAGGGACCAAATAACCCTTCAAAATGACATATTTTGAGTTGTTATTTTGGATGAAATCATTAGATCTTAGAATGTGAGGAATAGTTTAGCAAATCTTCACTTAAAAATATCAAATTTAAGGGTTAAACATCAAGAGTCTCCCTCCTAGGGAGAGTTGGCAAGTATTGGGGTTAAGAGTGTGAGAAGGGAAAGGTTGCTGATCATGATCAGATTTTGTTTTGTTTTGCAATGTGCACACACTCACAGATATAATTGCAAATTACACAAGGGGGCTTCATTGTAACATTTTATTGGGATCTATTAAAATCGATATTCCTGAAGTTTGTATTTCATGTAAGTTAATGAATATATGGCTGAAGTGGTAGGTATGGGCTAAGCTTTCCAAATTTCAATACACATTACACCTTGTTCCCCCTCTGACCATATTAGGTATACACATTCCCTTATCTATCTCGTGAATAAACCAATGTCTCACACGGACACATAAAACAGGTAGATAAGGGAGGTTAACACTGGGCAAATATACAACCTGATAGAGCTGTCTGTATGAAGTATATATCTTTGACTTCAATATATCTCAAGTGGTCTTACCTGTAATATGCATTTGTTTTTCAATGCACTTAAAACATGTGTGGAGATATATTTTATCTATATTGTAGACAAGCTTGATGCAATACAGGTACACCATATCATGTAACACCACCAGGCCAAGGGTATCACACACAAAAATACATTTTCTACAGGTGTACATATAATACTAAAAGCAAATAAAATAGGCATTGGTAAAGAAAATAATTATATCTACAGTAAAAAGTCTCTTAAGTTTTCACCATTTATAAACTCAATTATCATCATAGTATTAACTCAGACAGCCTCTATAGTTATCATTATAGTATTAACTCAGACAGCCTCTATAGTTATCATTATAGTATTAACTCAGACAGCCTCTATAGTTATCATTATAGTATTAACTCAGACAGCCTCTATAGTTATCATTATAGTATTAACTCAGACAGCCTCTATAGTTATCATTATAGTATTAACTCAGACAGCCTCTATAGTTATCATTATAGTATTAACTCAGACAGCCTCTATAGTTATCATTATAGTATTAACTCAGACAGCCTCTATAGTTATCATTATAGTATTAACTCAGACAGCCTCTATAGTTATCATTATAGTATTAACTCAGACAGCCTCTATAGTTATCATTATAGTATTAACTCAGACAGCCTCTATAGTTATCATTATAGTATTAACTCAGACAGCCTCTATAGTTATCATTATAGTATTAACTCAGACAGCCTCTATAGTTATCATTATAGTATTAACTCAGACAGCCTCTATAGTTATCATTATAGTATTAACTCAGACAGCCTCTATAGTTATCATTATAGTATTAACTCAGACAGCCTCTATAGTTATCATTATAGTATTAACTCAGACAGCCTCTATAGTTATCATTATAGTATTAACTCAGACAGCCTCTATAGTTATCATTATAGTATTAACTCAGACAGCCTCTATAGTTATCATTATAGTATTAACTCAGACAGCCTCTATAGTTATCATTATAGTATTAACTCAGACAGCCTCTATAGTTATCATTATAGTATTAACTCAGACAGCCTCTATAGTTATCATTATAGTATTAACTCAGACAGCCTCTATAGTTATCATTATAGTATTAACTCAGACAGCCTCTATAGTTATCATTATAGTATTAACTCAGACAGCCTCTATAGTTATCATTATAGTATTAACTCAGACAGCCTCTATAGTTATCATTATAGTATTAACTCAGACAGCCTCTATAGTTATCATTATAGTATTAACTCAGACAGCCTCTATAGTTATCATTATAGTATTAACTCAGACAGCCTCTATAGTTATCATTATAGTATTAACTCAGACAGCCTCTATAGTTATCATTATAGTATTAACTCAGACAGCCTCTATAGTTATCATTATAGTATTAACTCAGACAGCCTCTATAGTTATCATTATAGTATTAACTCAGACAGCCTCTATAGTTATCATTATAGTATTAACTCAGACAGCCTCTATAGTTATCATTATAGTATTAACTCAGACAGCCTCTATAGTTATCATTATAGTATTAACTCAGACAGCCTCTATAGTTATCATTATAGTATTAACTCAGACAGCCTCTATAGTTATCATTATAGTATTAACTCAGACAGCCTCTATAGTTATCATTATAGTATTAACTCAGACAGCCTCTATAGTTATCATTATAGTATTAACTCAGACAGCCTCTATAGTTATCATTATAGTATTAACTCAGACAGCCTCTATAGTTATCATTATAGTATTAACTCAGACAGCCTCTATAGTTATCATTATAGTATTAACTCAGACAGCCTCTATAGTTATCATTATAGTATTAACTCAGACAGCCTCTATAGTTATCATTATAGTATTAACTCAGACAGCCTCTATAGTTATCATTATAGTATTAACTCAGACAGCCTCTATAGTTATCATTATAGTATTAACTCAGACAGCCTCTATAGTTATCATTATAGTATTAACTCAGACAGCCTCTATAGTTATCATTATAGTATTAACTCAGACAGCCTCTATAGTTATCATTATAGTATTAACTCAGACAGCCTCTATAGTTATCATTATAGTATTAACTCAGACAGCCTCTATAGTTATCATTATAGTATTAACTCAGACAGCCTCTATAGTTATCATTATAGTATTAACTCAGACAGCCTCTATAGTTATCATTATAGTATTAACTCAGACAGCCTCTATAGTTATCATTATAGTATTAACTCAGACAGCCTCTATAGTTATCATTATAGTATTAACTCAGACAGCCTCTATAGTTATCATTATAGTATTAACTCAGACAGCCTCTATAGTTATCATTATAGTATTAACTCAGACAGCCTCTATAGTTATCATTATAGTATTAACTCAGACAGCCTCTATAGTTATCATTATAGTATTAACTCAGACAGCCTCTATAGTTATCATTATAGTATTAACTCAGACAGCCTCTATAGTTATCATTATAGTATTAACTCAGACAGCCTCTATAGTTATCATTATAGTATTAACTCAGACAGCCTCTATAGTTATCATTATAGTATTAACTCAGACAGCCTCTATAGTTATCATTATAGTATTAACTCAGACAGCCTCTATAGTTATCATTATAGTATTAACTCAGACAGCCTCTATAGTTATCATTATAGTATTAACTCAGACAGCCTCTATAGTTATCATTATAGTATTAACTCAGACAGCCTCTATAGTTATCATTATAGTATTAACTCAGACAGCCTCTATAGTTATCATTATAGTATTAACTCAGACAGCCTCTATAGTTATCATTATAGTATTAACTCAGACAGCCTCTATAGTTATCATTATAGTATTAACTCAGACAGCCTCTATAGTTATCATTATAGTATTAACTCAGACAGCCTCTATAGTTATCATTATAGTATTAACTCAGACAGCCTCTATAGTTATCATTATAGTATTAACTCAGACAGCCTCTATAGTTATCATTATAGTATTAACTCAGACAGCCTCTATAGTTATCATTATAGTATTAACTCAGACAGCCTCTATAGTTATCATTATAGTATTAACTCAGACAGCCTCTATAGTTATCATTATAGTATTAACTCAGACAGCCTCTATAGTTATCATTATAGTATTAACTCAGACAGCCTCTATAGTTATCATTATAGTATTAACTCAGACAGCCTCTATAGTTATCATTATAGTATTAACTCAGACAGCCTCTATAGTTATCATTATAGTATTAACTCAGACAGCCTCTATAGTTATCATTATAGTATTAACTCAGACAGCCTCTATAGTTATCATTATAGTATTAACTCAGACAGCCTCTATAGTTATCATTATAGTATTAACTCAGACAGCCTCTATAGTTATCATTATAGTATTAACTCAGACAGCCTCTATAGTTATCATTATAGTATTAACTCAGACAGCCTCTATAGTTATCATTATAGTATTAACTCAGACAGCCTCTATAGTTATCATTATAGTATTAACTCAGACAGCCTCTATAGTTATCATTATAGTATTAACTCAGACAGCCTCTATAGTTATCATTATAGTATTAACTCAGACAGCCTCTATAGTTATCATTATAGTATTAACTCAGACAGCCTCTATAGTTATCATTATAGTATTAACTCAGACAGCCTCTATAGTTATCATTATAGTATTAACTCAGACAGCCTCTATAGTTATCATTATAGTATTAACTCAGACAGCCTCTATAGTTATCATTATAGTATTAACTCAGACAGCCTCTATAGTTATCATTATAGTATTAACTCAGACAGCCTCTATAGTTATCATTATAGTATTAACTCAGACAGCCTCTATAGTTATCATTATAGTATTAACTCAGACAGCCTCTATAGTTATCATTATAGTATTAACTCAGACAGCCTCTATAGTTATCATTATAGTATTAACTCAGACAGCCTCTATAGTTATCATTATAGTATTAACTCAGACAGCCTCTATAGTTATCATTATAGTATTAACTCAGACAGCCTCTATAGTTATCATTATAGTATTAACTCAGACAGCCTCTATAGTTATCATTATAGTATTAACTCAGACAGCCTCTATAGTTATCATTATAGTATTAACTCAGACAGCCTCTATAGTTATCATTATAGTATTAACTCAGACAGCCTCTATAGTTATCATTATAGTATTAACTCAGACAGCCTCTATAGTTATCATTATAGTATTAACTCAGACAGCCTCTATAGTTATCATTATAGTATTAACTCAGACAGCCTCTATAGTTATCATTATAGTATTAACTCAGACAGCCTCTATAGTTATCATTATAGTATTAACTCAGACAGCCTCTATAGTTATCATTATAGTATTAACTCAGACAGCCTCTATAGTTATCATTATAGTATTAACTCAGACAGCCTCTATAGTTATCATTATAGTATTAACTCAGACAGCCTCTATAGTTATCATTATAGTATTAACTCAGACAGCCTCTATAGTTATCATTATAGTATTAACTCAGACAGCCTCTATAGTTATCATTATAGTATTAACTCAGACAGCCTCTATAGTTATCATTATAGTATTAACTCAGACAGCCTCTATAGTTATCATTATAGTATTAACTCAGACAGCCTCTATAGTTATCATTATAGTATTAACTCAGACAGCCTCTATAGTTATCATTATAGTATTAACTCAGACAGCCTCTATAGTTATCATTATAGTATTAACTCAGACAGCCTCTATAGTTATCATTATAGTATTAACTCAGACAGCCTCTATAGTTATCATTATAGTATTAACTCAGACAGCCTCTATAGTTATCATTATAGTATTAACTCAGACAGCCTCTATAGTTATCATTATAGTATTAACTCAGACAGCCTCTATAGTTATCATTATAGTATTAACTCAGACAGCCTCTATAGTTATCATTATAGTATTAACTCAGACAGCCTCTATAGTTATCATTATAGTATTAACTCAGACAGCCTCTATAGTTATCATTATAGTATTAACTCAGACAGCCTCTATAGTTATCATTATAGTATTAACTCAGACAGCCTCTATAGTTATCATTATAGTATTAACTCAGACAGCCTCTATAGTTATCATTATAGTATTAACTCAGACAGCCTCTATAGTTATCATTATAGTATTAACTCAGACAGCCTCTATAGTTATCATTATAGTATTAACTCAGACAGCCTCTATAGTTATCATTATAGTATTAACTCAGACAGCCTCTATAGTTATCATTATAGTATTAACTCAGACAGCCTCTATAGTTATCATTATAGTATTAACTCAGACAGCCTCTATAGTTATCATTATAGTATTAACTCAGACAGCCTCTATAGTTATCATTATAGTATTAACTCAGACAGCCTCTATAGTTATCATTATAGTATTAACTCAGACAGCCTCTATAGTTATCATTATAGTATTAACTCAGACAGCCTCTATAGTTATCATTATAGTATTAACTCAGACAGCCTCTATAGTTATCATTATAGTATTAACTCAGACAGCCTCTATAGTTATCATTATAGTATTAACTCAGACAGCCTCTATAGTTATCATTATAGTATTAACTCAGACAGCCTCTATAGTTATCATTATAGTATTAACTCAGACAGCCTCTATAGTTATCATTATAGTATTAACTCAGACAGCCTCTATAGTTATCATTATAGTATTAACTCAGACAGCCTCTATAGTTATCATTATAGTATTAACTCAGACAGCCTCTATAGTTATCATTATAGTATTAACTCAGACAGCCTCTATAGTTATCATTATAGTATTAACTCAGACAGCCTCTATAGTTATCATTATAGTATTAACTCAGACAGCCTCTATAGTTATCATTATAGTATTAACTCAGACAGCCTCTATAGTTATCATTATAGTATTAACTCAGACAGCCTCTATAGTTATCATTATAGTATTAACTCAGACAGCCTCTATAGTTATCATTATAGTATTAACTCAGACAGCCTCTATAGTTATCATTATAGTATTAACTCAGACAGCCTCTATAGTTATCATTATAGTATTAACTCAGACAGCCTCTACAGTTATCATTATAGTATTAACTCAGACAGCCTCTATAGTTATCAATATAGTATTAACTCAGACAGCCTCTATAGTTATCATTATAGTATTAACTCAGTCCGCCTCTATAGTTATCATTATAGTATTAACTCAGTCAGCCTTTATAGTTATCATTATAGTATTAACTCAGTCAGCCTTTATAGTTATCATTATAGTATTAATTCAGACAGCCTCTATAGTTATCATTATATTATTAACTCATACAGTCTCTATAGTTATCATTATAGTATTAACTCAGTCTCTACAGTTATCATTATAGTATTAACACAGACAGTCTCTATAGTAATCATTATAGTATTAACTCAGTCCGCCTATATAGTTATCCTTGTAGTATATTAACTCAGACAGCCTCTACAGTTATCATTATAGTATTAACTCAGACAGCTAGCTACACTAGTATTGTAACAGGAAATGGAAAATGCACTGCCTTGCAAAGGGTATAACAAATGTTGGTCACAGGCACCACTGTAACAGGAGATGGAGAAATGCACATCCAGACCGGGGTTCGAACCTAGGACCCTCCAAACTCTAGACGACGCTCTACCAATTTATCTACCTGGTGGCCGAGGATTGGCCCAGTCTAGTGCCACTTCAGTATTAAAAAGCATAACAACAATGTACCTGTACAACATATCCCACCATACACTTGAAGTTATCGGGTGGTGGTGCGCCATCAATCAATATATCTCCACTCAGACCTGAGGGGTCTTTCCTTCCTGCCAGAACATCTAGTAATCTGTAATGAATATTTTACATGTATTTCAGTGTAATCTGTGAAAACCGGACTGTCCATCCAAATTTTTGTCTAAACTTGACAAAATAATCTTCTTTACATATAGTTCATTGTAATATAAACCCTGGCTAATCTGAACTCTGATTATTATGTTATCTGAACTAGTTTTCCCTTTCTATACACCATGGCCAGTAAATACACTCTTTGTAAACCACATCGGATCCCGTTCTGGTCTAGTGAAGGTGTTTATACTATTGCTTTCAATCATTAAACAGGAATGTGAACGGTTGACCAGTCATTTAAACTTTGCCCGGTACAATCTATAGACAGAGCTAGCTAGGTACATGTGTATCAAGTTAACCCCTAAGTATGTACTTAAACATGCTATCTTACTACAATAATCATAAAATTTGCCTTTGCCTTAGTAACATGTGCCATGTTCCTTAGTAACATGTGCCATGTTCCTTAGTAACATGTGCCATGTTCCTTAGTAGCATGTGTAATGTTCCTTCATCACATGTGTAATGTTCCTTAGTAACATGTACCATGTTCCTTAGTAACATGTGTAATGTTCCTTAGTAACATGTGCCATGTTCCTTAGTAACATGTGCCATGTTCCTTAGTAACATGTGCCATGTTCCTTAGTCACATGTGTAATGTTACATGCATAAAACAAGTCAGTTGTTTGACGTGTGATGAAAAATTAACACCCCCACCCGCCATGGATGAAATTTTTTGTTTATTTCTTAAACATGACACTGGAAGTAATACAGGGCCATATGAGTATCAGAGTAGAAATGATAACACTGCCAACATAAAAATGGTACCACTGAAGTGAACCCCTATATAAACAATTACTTTCATAATATCTTTAAACTGAAACAAATCCTACACAAAATAATTAAAAGAAAACACTTACGATGATTTTCCACTTCCAGTAGGCCCAAGAATGGCATTCATCCCTGGTTTGAAGATCCCACTAAAGATTGAAAGATAAGCAAAGTGTAAGAAATGATACTCGTATAGTTTGATGCTATAGGATAAAAATCATAACAGGATTAATTTACAAGAGATCCCAGAGGAATCTTGGCGCCCACCATCATTGTATCATCTACATGGTTCTATATAAGATAATCTATTGGACTGAGTCATGTAACGGTAAATGCACCTCGTGGTTACTTTTCACTGTTCTTTCAAAGTGAGGTCATTGTTTGACCTACTTACCAGCACAAAGTACCTAATATGTAACAAATGGAACCTAAATATGTTTGAGAAAGATCTGTCCGGTACTTCTTTAGAAATAATGACAACAAACTGGAACTGTCAAAATACGACTTGTCTTCACACAATCTTTTAATAGAAACTGGAAGGCATAGAAAAATTCCTCTTATTTAAGACTTTGTTCTTTCTGTAAAAATGATATAGAAGACAAATTTTACTTCGTTCTAAAATGACCCTCCTTCAGTGAACTAAGAAGTAAATATATTCAATTATATTATCGTGTTAATCCCTCTGTCTATAAATTAATCATTTTTTTATCAACCGGTAATATCAAAGAATTAACTAACCTGGGTAAGTACATATATCATGTGTTGGCTTCTAACTAGTTTGATTTGCGAGCTCTTAGTTCATAAAAACACCTGTATTTAAATCATAAATTCCATATGCTGATTGTATCTTACAGTCTGTGCTGATTTTCAATGGACATTATGAAATTTTCCTTTGAATCGATGAGATGTATATATGCTCAAGATGAAATAAAGAATTTGAATTTGAATTTGAAAATCCAAGATGGTTACCTGACAACATTTCTTTTTTCTGATCAGCCTCAAAATGAAACATGCTCAACTTATAGATCTATGAAAACCAACATATGAAACTGATAAAGATCTGTCTAGTACCTCTTGAGAAAGTGTGAGAATTGTCCAAATTCAAGATTGATGTCTGGTGGCCATCCTGTGTTTCCAATCAGTCTCAAATTGAGGCTTGCATGCACAAAGACGTATTATTGGGAACCTACATGTAGCTATACATGTGAAATTTTAAAAAGATCAAACAAGTACTTTTTGAAAAGTAGCGATGATAAGTTCTAATTCTCAAAATACTACAGACCAAGGGAAACCTCCTCTCAGAAAGATCCCTATAGTTCTTTCAGAGAAAAAGCATGCACTTCCAAACTTCACCTCTCAGTCTCGTAATCAAAAATGGCAACCTTTCATGGGAAATTTGAAAAAAATATCTCTACAGTCCTTTCTGAGAAATATATAACACTAAACAAACTTTAACCTTCAAAATTCAAGACGGCTGGCTTTGGCCCATCTTGGTTTTCTAATCAGTCCCAAGATTTGATATACATAACTATAAGGACCATGGGAAATCTTAATGTAAAGTTTAAGAAAGGTTCATCCAGTTCTTTGAGAGAAATAACACTTACAAACTAAATCTCTCAAAATTCAAGACGGCTGCATGTCAGCTATCTTGTCCCAAAATTTGACGTGTAATAATAGAAGCTACCATAAGGAACCTTCATGTGAAATTTGAAAATTATCCCTCCTCCCCCGTTTGTTCTGAGAAATAGCCTTAATGGTTATTGTTTAATGATAGACGGACAAACGACGACCCGGACACAGGGTATTTTGAAAAGCCCGCCGTCTGATGATAGTAGGCTAAAAGTACATATTGAGCCTATATATATACATGCCATATATGACAGAACTAAACCTATGACAAAGTTTTTTAAAAGTTTACTATAATTACCCCATTTTGGCCTTTTAGGGATAAGGCACCAAGTCAGACTATATGAATAAATACATTGAGAATGAGATCCAATGTGTGCTTGATAGCTATAAGTAATAGGGTTGGTCAGTTCAGTCCATCCCGGTTGATGGATTCTTAAATGGAGTCACTAGAACAGCTATAGGAGGAACAAATTCAACATAAGAGATGACAACATCAAAAGGGGTGTATGAGACTAAATAAAGGTAAAACCCGTTTAGAACGAGTGATCATTGACGTAGGGCCAGTTTTATCAAACTCTGCCTGAAGAAGATGTCAATGAGAAAATATGAAGGACAAACTAACCTTGAAAGGTGTAGAAATACAAAATTGCATTATCATGGCCATTTAGGCATAACAACACATACGGTACATGTGTGTTTATCATCTCATATAACTAGGATGGGTAACACAGTACATAGAGGAGAGAGGGGACCTGAGGTAGTCACAAAACATAGAGGGGAGAGAGGTGACCTGAGGTAGTCACAGTACATAGAGGGGAAAGAGGTGACCTGAGGAAGGCACAGTACATAGAGGAGAGAGAGGTGACCTGAGGTAGACACAGTACATAGAGGGGAAAGAGGTGACCTGAGGTAGACACAGTACATAGATGGGAGAGAGGTGACCTGAGGTAGACACAGTACATAGAGGGGAGAGAGGTGACCTGAGGTAGAGACAGTACATAGAGGGGTTAGAGGTGACCCGAGGAAGACACAGTCCATAGAGGGGAGAGAGGTGACCTGAGGTAGGCACAGTACATAGAGGGGAAAGAGGTGACCCGAGGTAGACACAGTACATAGATGGGAGAAAGGAGACCTGAGGTAGACACAGTACATAGAGGGGTTAGAGGGGACCCGGGGTAGACACAGTCCATAGAGGGGAGAGAGGTGACCTGAGGTAGACACAGTACATAGAGGGGTTAGAGGTGACCCGAGGTAGACACAGTCCATAGAGGGGAGAGAGGTGACCTGAGGTAGACACAGTACATAGATGGGAGAAAGGTGACCTGAGGTAGATTAAGTACATAGAGGGGAGAGAGGTGACCTGAGGTAGACACTGTACATAGAGGGGAGAGAGGTGACCTGAGGTAGACACAGTATATAGAGGGGAGATAGGTGACCTGAGGTAGACACTGTACATAGAGGGGTTAGAGGTGACCTGAGGTAGACACAGTACATAGAGTGGAGAGAGTGGAGAGAGGTGACCTGAGGTAGACACAGTACATAGATGGGAGAAAGGTGACCTGAGGTAGATTAAGTACATAGAGGGGAGAGAGGTGACCTGAGGTAGACACTGTACATAGAGGGGAGAGAAGTGACCTGAGGTAGACACAGTATATAGAGGGGAGATAGGTGACCTGAGGTAGACACTGTACATAGAGGGGTTAGAGGTGACCTGAGGTATATAAAGTACATAGAGGGGTTAGAGGTGACCTGAGTTAGACACAGTACATAGAGGGGAGAGAGGTGACCTGAGGAAGACACAGTCCATAGAGGGGAGAGAGGTGACCTGCGGTAGACACAGAACATAGAGGGGAGAGAGTTGACCTGAGGTAGATAAAGTACATAGAGGGGAGAAAGGTGACCTGAGGTAGACACAGAACATAGAGGGGAGAAAGGTGACCTGAGGTAGACACTGTATATAAAGGGGAGAGAGGTGACCTGAGGTAGACACTGTACATAAAGGGGTGAGAGGTGACCTGAGGTAGACACAGTACATAGAGGGGAGAAAGGTGACCTGAGGTAGACACTGTACATAAATGGGATTAGAGGTGACCTGAGGTGGACACTGTACATAAAGGGATGAGAGGTGACCCGAGGTAGATTAAGTACATAGAGGGGAGAGAGGTGACCTGAGGTGGACACTGTACATAAAGGGATGAGAGGTGACCCGAGGTAGACACAGTACATAGAGTGGAGAGAGGTGACCTGAGGTAGACACTGTACATAGAGGGGAGAGGTCACCGGAGGTAGACACTAAAGGGATGAGAGGTGACCCGAGGTAGACACAGTACATAGAGTGGAGAGAGGTGACCTGAGGTAGACACTGTACATAGAGGGGAGAGGTCACCGGAGGTAGTCATCATACGTACATAATGTAGCCACTAGGGAGAGGGGCTGTAGGGTATCCACAGAACATAATAGCTCAGAGTAAAACAGAGGTAGCTGTATATAGATGGGGAAATGGATCTCCAGGTATACATTGTATGCAGTCACAGCCCGTTTTTTTACATGTTGTTGGGGGTTGGCAAAGTACTTTTTATATAAACCTTCATTCACTTGGTAAAATTGTGGAACTTGCCAAGCAATTGCAAAAAATGCTTGGGGTTAACTTTGAATCTTGTTGATGGTTCTTAACTGCCAATGTCAGATTTAAAGTTGAAAAAAACATTTCCCTTCACTAGGGTAAAATTTCCACTTTGTGAAAATATCAGCAAAGAAAATAATCTTGATCGAGATGTTTCATGGAACCATATCTACTAAATATATGTGTGTATACGTATCTATGAATGAATTCAGGCTCGAGAGTCGAGTCATGATGACCCAGGTATTTACATACAAAAATGTATGCAAAGGGGGTCGTCTACAGGTCACAGCATTAGTACTTACTCGATATTTTTTAGGATATCCTTCTTCACCATAGACCCACAGCAAGGTTTGGATGAAACGTCGACAGTGTAGCAAATGTTGTGGGCAGTGATAGTTGACCCGGCCTTGGTCGTACTGTTGACGTGAACCACATGGTCAGTGCCGTAGCCTTTGCTGCCATTGCTAGCTACCAAGTGTTCCTGTGTGTGAACTTTGTTGTCATTCAAAGGTATGCCATTGAGAGAGAATTGTTCCCGCAGACCACTACTTGGGTTGTTCCCCGACATAACTCACTGCTACCGTCTACCTCCCGATAAAGACTACCCCACGTGCACTCACATACAGAAATCACACACGTGTGTATATTTTGTTATGAAATCTAAAGTAGATCGATCCAAGACATAATGGTCAAGGGGTGAGAGGTTGTCCACGTACGTTACCCGTGTTACTATAGTGAGTATATATATAAGAACACTATTGATATGGTACTTCTAGTCTGTTACTAAGCCATACGTTAATGATATATAAATAACAAAATCTCTAACAATGATTGATGGGTGTATCAGGCAATGCGTGACCACGGCTAAATGTTCTGTCTCACCTCCCACCCGTATCCAAATTTACAATATAGAATCGTTCAGCATACAGCATCACGGAATGGTTCCCTGAATTACATTGGTAGAGCTATTTGTAACCAGAATATTTTGTAATTCACGCCACTTTTCAATTCTTGGTCTCAACAGAATTTACTTTTTGTTTAAAACATAAACTCGATCTAGTCAATCTGAGACCTGACATAGTACACGTGTACTCAGAACGGGACGATACACATGTACTTGGTTTTTGTTAGGTCATCTGTCTCTGAGCTTTAGCTCAAGTGGCCTATTTTGCTATCCGTCTTCTTCAGTCAGCGTGCGTCGTCCGTTAACATTTTACATTTTCAACTTAAGCTGAAATACTGTCAAAGTGTACTAACATCTCCCTGACCAAGTGTTGTTATTTTTCAGGGCGATCAGAAAACCAATGTGGCCGCCACGGCCGCCATTTTGAAAAAAAACTTACAGTGAATCAAGTTTTACTGGCCTGATTAAATCATTGAAACTTGGTAGGAGTGATCGACTCATAGTCCTGGCATTTTTTATTTTTATTTTTTTTTGCGCTGATCAAAAATCCAATATGGCCGCCATTTTGAAAATAATAATTATTTCAAACTTAAAATCAAGTTTCAATAGGCCGATTTAACTGAAACTTAGAATGATCAACTCATAGTCATGACAAACTTAACTTAACGTTATACTTAACTATTTTTTACTCAAATTAGTAGGGATGATTGACATCATTTTCTCTGCTTTATTCACATTTCAACAACAAAAATAAATACTGTAGTACTCTGCAGGTGACCGTTTAGACCCATGGGCCTCTCGTTGGGGTGTCGTCTTACGTAACATACATTTGGTATTTTCCTATATACAGGTAAGGTGTTCGGATGTATGCTAGGTGAGATTTGGTGTCAGTTAGAGAACAATAGGATTTAATTACAGGTAAACTATAGTCTGTACGAATCAGGGGCGGGTCCAGATGAGGGCGTAATGGGCCTTTTCAAAACAAAAACAACAACAAAAATATCGTAATCTGCTAATATTGTATTGAAAAATTGTTGAAATCCAGGAGCTTCTGAGCTTCCCCATGGACCCTCTACCAGGGCAACCGTAAGTACGCCTCCCGTTTATAAAATCCTGGCCTAGGACTATTATACCCTAGAATTTGGAATTTCTCGTTATTGGTTTACTGCTGTTAAGATCCATCCAATCATTTTAATATACCATAGACAATTAATGGAGAGAATTCGGCATAAAAAATGTCAAACCCTGACACTTTAACTATAAAATATACATGCTCCAAGTCAGGAACAATTACATTAGTGCATTTCACAATTATTTTATGTTTTTTAGCAAAAAAAAGGTCTAACAATTTTTTGATTATAAAAATCAAAATATCAAATATCCTAGAAACGCCCCTGCAAATGCTAGTCGTTTCGGGACTTAATCAAGTCGTTTCGGGACATATGCAATTTTCACTTATAATTAACATTTCACTCCCGTTTCATAAAAAGTCATGTAAATACACAATTATGGTCTATGACCTGTATCATGACCTTCCCGTGCTTGTGATCATTATAGTGTTTAACAGATTGCTAGTGCTTGAGGGGATACCTACCAACATTTACCCGACTGACAGTATGTTGTTACCTGATGAAACTAATCTCATTACTAAATACAGATATAGAGGAACTATATAGAGGAATTCCTTGTTTGATATTGTAAAGATATGTTTTCAATTCACTTTATTCTCCGTTATTGTTATTGACATTAAGAGACGAATGAATTAACATTGATTCTAACAATGTTTTAAGCATTTTGTTTTTGCTATATTGAAATTAAATTTCATGAAAGTAAAAAACGTGAAACAGGTAGAATGTATTTTATACATGTGAATTAATTCATCAAATCCAGCAATATAGTTTGAACGATGTTTTTATGTTGTGTATTTGTGTCTGTATGAATATTATATATACGACACTAAATAAAGCTTCTTGTATCTTGTATTATATATATTTATTCATGAGTCATTAAAATCATGAAATGGTAAATGTATGAAGGGAGAAGTCTATGATAAGTTGTAATAATTTGTATCCAATCGATTGTTTACGTTTAGTTGACATTAAAATATGTTTAAGGAAAAAAGACAATGGTATCTACGGAACATACAAAAAAATGAAAAATCCCGAAACGACTTTTGACATGTCCCGAAACGACCCGAAAAAAGTCCCGAAACGACTAATCCCTTACTGTGTGTACGGTCATCCCTTACTGTGTGTACAGTCATCCTTTTCTGTGTGTACGGTCATCCCTTACTGTGTGTACGGTCATCCCTTACTGTGTGTACGGTCATTCCTTACTGTTTGTACGGTCACCCCTTACTGTGTGTACAGTCATCCCTTACTGTGTGTACATTCATCCCTTACTGTGTGTACGGTCATCCCTTACTGTGTGTACGGTCATCCCTTACTGCCTGTACGGTCATGCCTTAATGTGTGTACGGTCATCCCTTACTGTGTGTACGGTCATCCCTTACTGTGTGTACGGTCATCCCGTACTGTGTGTACAGTCACCCCTAACTGTGTGTACGGTCACCCCTTACTGTGTGTACGGTCATCCCTTACTGTGTGTACAGTCACACCTTACTGTGTGTACGGTCATCCCTTACTGTGTGTACAGTCACCCCTTACTGTGTGTAAGGTCATCCCTAAACCTTGTGAACGATCATCCCATTACTGTATGTACAGTCATCCCTATACTTTGTGAACGGTCATCCCTATACTTTGTGTTCGATCAGCCCTGTACTGTGTGTACTGCAATCCCTATACTTTGTGTACGATCATTCATGTACTGTGTGTACGGTCATCCATGTACTATATATATGATAATCCATGTACAGTGTGTACGAACATCCCTATACTTTGTGTACGATCATCCCTGTACTGTGTGTACGGTCATCCCTGTATTGTATGTACGATCATCATTGTACTGTGTGAACGATTATCCATGTATTGAGTGTACGGTCATTTCTGTACTGTCTGTTCGATCATCCCTGTGCTGTGTGTACGGTCATCCGTTACAAGAAAACGTGAATATCATGTCATTTAGCTGCTGTTATCATCATTTTACTCCACATAGCAGTACGGTTATCAACGGTAAAAATATATAAAAGGTTATAAATCCATCGTTTCTTCACCAATCTAAATCTCTCTTAAAATACACTATCTACATTACTGTGAATCAGTAGCATTACGATGTTTATATCTTTGTGAAATTTGTTATATCATACACGCTTATATAACTATAACACGGTAACGTAGGTATTATTTTATATAAATATAGGTGATGTCTGCAACTGTTGCTACAGTTACGGGTATCCGCTAAACAACAATGCATACATTGCAAACATTTACAACAAAAATGCGTGCTATTTACGTGACGGCATTTCTTATTTGTGAAGTTACGTTGTCATACTTACTACGCGTTAATGAAATAACATTTGTAAATAGCAACCAGAAGTCAATAGTACGCGAAAGTACGTTATACTATTAAGTAGAGAAGAAGATACATCTATACAAGCCCCGGCTTACCATTGATGTCAACTGAGCGAAACTGAGCGAAAATATTATTTCCTTATTCAGTCGATAAGTTGCAGATTTTGAACACGAATTATGAATGATAACCTAGTCAACTTGAATAGAATTATTGAACAATGCATTCATATGATTTTAAACAACTATAGCTCTTAGCAAATTTCTACTTAGCGGTGCACTCACCCTGGACGAAGACCTTTTCATTACGTATAGGTTGGTGACACAGTATTCCTCGTTTACTTACGATTCACACTAAAACATATCTACACCTTGTACCTACACGTGGTAATCACCCTATCTGTGTTATCACGATGCGTTCACTAACCCCGACTCTATTATCTAATACAACTGACATGATACGATATTCACAATTCAGTCACCCCGACTCTTTTATCTATAGTTGACATGATTACGATGTTCATAAGTAACAGGATTTTGTTTTACAAGGGTTAACCCGCATGTTTAACTAGAGTAGGGGGTTTGATTGAGTGCTTCTGTTTAATTAATACGAAAGATAATTTAGACATATCCCTATCTCTTCTCTATGAAATGCTAATTAATAATTACTCTGACAAAACATAACTTAGACCATTAAACAAGTTTAATGGTTATCATGTTATCTTCATTCTTTTTTTCTGTCTTTCTCTTCTTCCTAATATTGTGGGGCTGCGATTGCCAGGTTGTCAATTAGGTGTCGGACACTCTGCTACAACTATAGCTATCCCTCCACTACAGGGTCGTGGGTTCGAGACCTTCGTGAGGCAGTCGCCAGGTCCTGTCAACTCCTGAACTCCACTAAACCAAACCATTATACCAAAAATAAATTCTCAACACTCATTTTTTTTCTGAACTCCGCATATAATCATTAACTCAAAAGAATGGATTTTTGATGAAACATTTCTCAACTCGGCTAAGTATCAATCAAATTAATCGCGTTTGTTATCCGAACTTATATCCCGGTCTGACTCATATCCGTCCTGCACGCACAATTTCCGCACAACACCCGCTAACACAGTATATGTATACGGTACACTTACGTATTATGTATACTTATAAAAATAATAATAATTCGAGGTTCTTATATATACCGCTTTATCACAACCTAGTTCCTAGGTCGTCTCAAAGCGGTACACAAATTATTGCAACCAGCCAATACCTTTCTCAACTCCCTGGGGAGCATACAGCCGGAGCTGCCATTTCGGCGCTCACAGCTAGCATTCAACAATTCTATCATTGAACCACGTACTCATTTACAGCTGAGTAGACTGGAACAAGCGGAGCAAAATATCTTGCTCAAGGATACAACGCCGTGCCGTGACTCCGGTCACGAGCCCGGCGTCGCGTCCTACCACTAACGTTAGACTATACCGTGCCTCCTATACAATGTAATGTATATATGTATTCTGCAAGCCTGTCGTCAGTTATCGGAACCATAGAATGGCATTGTATCAAAGTAATAAAGGATTGTATCCGATATACAAACGACTATGAATTGACAACACTAGGATAACAATGTGTCAAGGAATTATAGAAAGTAAACAATATACTCTACCTTTTTGGTTGTCTTGAAACGAAACCTATACTGTGATATCTGTCATCACAGTGTTTTGTAAATATTCATTACAGCTTTCATAGAATAATACCACGGACTAAGATAGCACGTCATAAAACATACAATGTACATAGCATTGATTAGAAAGATAACTTGACTGAAATATGAAAATTTTGTACGAACTGAAACATGCATATACATATATTAACTATAAATTAGTAGTGAATAGTACATATATATAGCAAAATCAAAATTATTTTTGTTTTTAATGAATGAACGGGGAAAAAACGCAGTTCAATCCGTATTTATTTGGTAAATACTCCTGTGCGATTTGAGCGATCCCTACCGTTATACATATGCTGGCAATATGTGGTGGCCTCAGTTTTTGACCCAACTGGACCATTTCAACTTTCTAAACGCAAGCGCCCCAAAGTCTTAGGCGGATGTGAGAAAGGAACGACAACTCTTGGTTGAATGATAAGAAGTTGCGGACTGAAGTAAGTGGAAATGTTCGAAATGATTTTGTTGGTTTAGATTTTGCAATTGTTCTTTTCCATTTAAATTACATAGTTTGATAAGTCTTAAATAATTTGCTTCATTCTTATTGGACAAGGTCCAAAAAGCACCGTACTGTAATGTAGAATCAGCGATCAGAACGGGGTAAACTGAAATCTACTTTCGCTTTGACCTCATCGAGTACATCTAACGTATAGGTAACTTACGTGACGTTTTGTTGACACTGAATAAATAGTATACGGAGAGATGGTGTTTTATTACGTGCATACGCCTTTTTTCTATGATTAAGGCGGTATCTCGTACTTGTCATAATGTACCTGTAGATGTCATTTAATGGATTTATGCTTATGAATGTATAGATAAAATATCTCTCAAAATTACATTCATGAATGATGATAAAGTTTATTATGGATGCTTTTAAGTTCTATTTGAATCACAGAACAGCTTTACATATTGAAATGGGTAACTGTTAGTGCATAGCTGTTTACTGTGCTGTGCAATACTCACTATGCAATTGGAAACATAAACCTATTGAATATAAAAGGTTGTCCTGGATTATAACCATAACTTTTAATAACTCAAGGAATCATAATACAGGGTGTAACAGGTAAGAGAATAGTGTGCTTCCACGATCCCTAGGTTCCTAGTCGGACACTCTACCACTGAGCTAAAGGGAATCTTGAAGCTTGAAGGCGACCATAATCCTATGTACAATTAAAATCTGCCACACAGGGTATTGTTGCTAGCTACTGTAGACCTTATATCCCGTTCTTATTAAGAACTGAAATTTACAGGGAGAAAAACTCTTAGACAAGTACATGTAGTTAAGTGCAATGTAAGCACATGTATCTTGTAATAGTCATGGAATTTCTCAAAGTATAAGCAAAACGTTGTTTGAAATCCTGCAGCATATATATTAATTAGACTTGTGTCAGCTTCTACCGTGTATCTATGTACATGTTGTATGATACCCTTATAAATATACTGTATGCATGTTTATGAAGCCCCTAACTGTATATGTATGTCTGGTACGAGGCCCCTATAGTTTATGTATTTAACAGAGGTCAATTTTTTTTAAATGCCTCCTCTGATGATTGGACCCAGAACCTCTGGCTTATATTAGAGTCTGATGCTCTACCTAGAAAGGTAAAGAGAAATTCACCTGAGCCGAGTTGGTAGGAAGCAGCTAGTAATTTACCTTGTTGACATACTCCCCTTCCTGGAAAGAATTTGTCCGGAGTTTCCAGTCGTCATAGTAATTCTTATGGAAGTATTCCTGAGTATTTTTGTCAATGTTTCCTGAGTTTCTACATGGGAACCATTATCTAACCCAAGTCCTTATCTTTTTAGTGCCTGAGCCTCCCCTAGGGATCAAACCCAAGACCTCTGGTTTACTAGTCGGATGCTCTACTGAAAGAGAAATTCTCCTTAGCTGAGTCAGTAGAAAGCAGCTGGTATTTTACCAGGGTGACATTATTATGTTTAATGAGGCCACTATTCTGTCCAGTACACCTGTTTTGTAAGAGGCCTAGCATCATAACTATGTTGTGTGAGGCCCCTACTCTGTTGGTGTTTTCTTTTGCTATATGAGTCCGTAACTTTTTATGTGTGTTTTGTGTCATTACAGGTAGACCTGGTACCCTTTATGTGTGTTTTGTGTCATTACAGGTAGAGCTGGTACCCTTTATGTGTGTTTTGTGTCATTACATGTAGACCTGGTTCCTTTTATGTGTGTTTTGTGTCATTACAGGTAGAGCTGGTACCCTTTATGTGTGTTTTGTGTCATTACATGTAGACCTGGTACCCTTTATGTGTGTTTTGTGTCATTACAGGTAGACCTGGTAACCCTGTTGGACACTGGGCTGTAGGTACATGTAGACAGTGTTCACACAGACAACATGAGGTTAACAGCACTGGGTCCTCAGATGCATCTGTGTTTGAGGGCACTGCTCCCGGGTGTGGGTACCTCTGTGGCCAGAGGAAATTATCACAGTGAAAGGTCAAGGTCATTGTTGGGTTTTCATGGTTGTAGGACTTACGGAAATCAAATAATAGACTCTCATGAAAGATTTGAGGATTATGAATGGCATAGAAAGTGGATGGAAAGTCAATCCAGGAAAGAAAACCTCCCTGAGTACTATAATTTTGCTGGAGATGCAATTGACAGATGGGCAGCACTAGAGAAGGTGAGACAATGCACATCCATCAGTATGTATGATAATATCAACAGCCAACAGTCTATATTATAACAAGTTTATCAATGTATAATAGCACATTTTACAACTTCATTTTGTATTATGTGTAAAGCATTACAGGTAGTTTGGAAATTATATCTCAGCTAATTTTGATATGATTTGACGTTTGTATCAGACAGGAGCACGGCAATCATCCAATCCTGCTTTATGGATAACAAACGATGAGGGCGAAGACCGCACTTGGAGCTTTCAGGATCTGTCTACTGTGTCAAAGAGGTATTGGGTTGCCTTAACTGGTTACTTGACAGGATGCTTGTTACCATGGTTGCTAAAGCATTAAAAAAAAGAAAACTTTATGTTAGAACAATTGCAAAACAACTTATATCAGCTTACATTAATCACTCTTGTTGACTCCGATAGTAGCACAAGGGGTCTTACCAAAGTCTGTCTTCTATAAGCTCTTCAGGTTTTCAAAAGACATTGGTAATATCAACTGACAATTTGCCTGTAACAATTCTTGATTAAGTTAATTGTTAATTTACCTGTAGGTATATTTACAGTGATAAAATCATTTGGCAATTTACCTGTAATTACAACATACTAAAAATCCACTGAATTTACCTGTAAATGCATACTGGTATTTGTTGATCAACATAACACTGTTAATTTAAATGTAAATATATGCATTGTGATTAAATCAAATGAATACTTACCTTTTAATGCATGTACATGTATAGTAATAAATTTAATTGACAATTTTCCTATAAATACATATACATGTACAGTGATAAATATACCTAATTGACCATATACTTTTTAATACATGTATGGTGATCCGAATATCAACCTGGTTCTTGTTACTAATAGTTAAGTATATATAACTTTTTATGTTCCTATTTTTCATTTAATAGTATTATATACAATGTATACAGTTATATTTCTAAAATCACTGGCTAGGTACTTTGTGACTGGGATACCTACTGTTACACCAAGTACATGATTTTTGTTTTAGGACAGCCAATGTGCTTATCCACAAGTGTGGCCTTGACCCCGGGGATAAGCTCATCCTCATCCTTCCGCGAGTCCCGGAGTGGTGGTTCGTCAATGTGGCAGCAATAAGAGCGGGTAATATTAAGTCACCTGACATCACTTACATTCTTCATTGTGTAGAAGGTCTTCATTTTAGGATTTTCCTGAATAGCTTAATAGCGCGAGTGTTTGTATGATCACTAATGCACAGTTTTATTTATAGGTTTGATACTGAGTGCAGGAACAGTGTTACTGCGTCCAAAGGACATCAAACACCGTATCCAGCTATCGGGGGCCAAGTGTATAGTGGCGGACAGACTGTCGATGGACAACGTGGACAAGGTCAGACATCGTACTTACAGTGTCATGTACAAGGGGTCAACTTCTTCATCATCCCACTTCAGTATTAAACACCCATCCTACCATACCGACCAACAACCTCCATCACGCCATCACGCCATCACCACAACACAAATACCTGTCTGTCTTAGCCCAAACCAATAATACTGATGATTACAAAAGCTTATCCCTTTGATTTTATTTGCAGATTGCAGATGAGTGCCCTTCACTGAAATCCAAAGTTTTTGTTGGCAGTAGATCAGAAACAAGGTAGATATATAGAATAAAGAAGAAAAAGTAATAACATGATGCAATAGATCCACCTTACACTGTGTTGATATTAAGTCAGAAACAAGGTAGATACACAGAGTAGGCACTAGATATTGGATTCCACTTAATATCATGTTGGCAGTAGGTCAGAATCAAGGTAGATATATAGAGTAAATGCTAGTTAATACAACTAATTCCATTTAATATCATTTTGCTAATGTCACATTTCAGTTGATACATATATTCCTAAAACATGTTTTCTATTAGATGTATGTACATATTTTCTGTTAGATGTATGTACATGTTTTCTGTTAGATGTATGTACATTTTAAGGAGCTTTTGCTTTTTATACTCTTTATACTCTTTTTTATCATGTTCTATTAATCACATGTGAAAATTATAAACTCTACAGGATTATTTGTTTTAATGACCAGGAAGGGGTCCATTGGTTTATGTAAAACAATTAACCAAGCATTCTGTGAAAAGTTTTGTTGTGATATGATAAGGGTGGATTGATATGTGGTGTTTATGAATGATGTTTACTAAAAGTGTTTAGTTTTCACAGAAAATGTCTTAATGTCCCATCAATTTCTATCTTGTTTACCTCTAATAAATAACACAAAAAGACCATTAAAATGACTGTTAAGAAGAATAAAAGTATTTGCAAAAGTCGGAAATGTAACTTTCAATTCTGAAAGCAAATTGGTGAGCCTATCTTCCATCTTATTGTTCCAAATTTTTCTTTATTAGAAGTTATAAACAAGAGTCCCAATGGGCCTGCATCGCTCACCTGGTATTGATCTCTCACTTGTAACCTTAAAAGTGATCTAAAATAAAGCTACAGGCAAAATATCAGTATTTATGACTAAGAGTCATTCAAAAGAAACTGTTGAAAGATTTTAAAACCTTTGACCCCTGTGACCTTGAAAGTCAAACAAGATCATTACATCTTTTGGTTATTCAGGAGAAGAATTTTTAGGACAATTAACCCCTGTGACCTTGAATATGAGTGAAGGTCATTCATTTGAACAAACTTGGTAGCCCTTCATCCCAGCATGCTACTTGCCAAATATCATCACCCTGGGCCTTTTGGTCATTAACAAGAAGTTTTTTAAAGTAAAATATTGACTCTTCGGGCCAGGTGAACTAAAAAAGGGGGTTTGTAAGAATGTGTACAGTCAAACCTGTTCATAGAGACTAATCCTTTATAGTAGATTTTTGGAACCACAATTATCAGATAGGAACGATGTATACTTCAATATTGAATGATTCACCATAGAAAAGTGTATCCCACTAAATCGTCACTGTACCAGTATTAGTTTCTTTTTACTTTAAAGGTGAAACAGATGATGCTTGTTAAATACCTTGTTTTGTGTATTTCCAATAGGCCTGGTTGGCTTAACTTTGAAGATGTGCTGTCTAAAGCCAGTGATGAATTTCAGGTATGACCATTTATAAAATTAAATAATATATTGTTTAAAATTAACAGTAGTACAAAGTAAGATTTCCATGTTTGTGAGATTGATAAGCAGGTAGTGTATATCACCTTCTTCTATAGAATGATGATGTATTTTCTTAGGGTTAGAAACGAACTTATTTTGAAATTATATATATCTTTATTTTCCAATTGTAGACAGTAAAATCAAAATTCAATGATCCAATGACAGTGTTTTTTACGAGCGGAACAACAGGGTCTCCCAAGATGGCTCAGCACACCCACGGTAGCTATGGATACGGTAACATCATCACAGCAAGGTAAACATCAAACACTCAAATCGTTTTCTGTTCCATTCCCTGTCTTTCAAACTTTGTGCACTGGCCTGATGACCTGTTAACTACTGGGGTATATCCTAGCTTGATACATGTACTGCATATAAATTTGAGAAGCTGAGTATAGGGATTTCTTTTGTGTAGAAATTCCAGAAGACAAACATTGATCTGCTACTCCCCATGCAACAACTGAAGTAAAAGCAATGAAGAAATAACCTGTTAATATAAATCCTATACCCGAAATATACAGTGGAGAGCTAATTATTGATAATAGTAACCCAGATAAGTGTTAGTTCAGAGATACTGGTCGTTCAGATAAGTGTTAGTTTAGAGATACTGGTCGTTCAGATAAGTGTTAATTCAGAGATACTGATCATTCAGTATTAGAACAAGCAGTGTATTGGGTGACAAGATCTAGGTTTGAATAATTGAAAATTGGCATAATTTGGGTTTTGATTATCAGTGTTTATTCTGTGCATGTATATGGAATTAAGACACAACCTCTTGAAATCATAGGCAGTGAAAGTGTACCTGTAATGTACTTTACGAGACACCTGACAATATAAAGACACCTGACTTTATGGTTATCTAATTACCTTATAAGGACACATGACTTTATATAATTAAGGCATCTGACCTCAGCAACACCATACTTTATGGACATCTGACTTAGATATCTGGTAATATTCTACATGGTTTTTACTATCTATACATGCAGGTACTTCCTGCAGACAACGGAACAAGATGTGGTGTGGAATATGTCAGACACGGGATGGGCCAAGTCGGCCTGGAGCAGCCTTTTTGCTCCCTGGTTACAGGGCTCCTGTGTTTTTGCCCACAACACAGACAAGTTTGACCCGGTATCAACACTTAAGGTAAGTCTGGGGAGAGTAGCACTGTCAATTTTACAGGAGTAAAAGTGTCAGAACACAGGAGGTTGCTTTTCATATTCTTCCATTTTCTCTTGGTGTAAGAGTTGTAAAAACGACTGGTTCAAAATTGACAGTCATAACAAATAAAAATTCTCACACTGGAATTACATAATGATGATGTCACCCTGGTAAAATACCAGCCACTTCCTACCGACTGGGCTAGGAAGAATTTCTCTTTAACTCATTGGGTAGAGCGTAAGACTAGTAAGTCAAAGGTCCCAGGTTCGACTTCTGGCAGAGGCATTACAAAAATAATGACCTAGGTTACACTGAAAGAAAGCATGTGTTGAATAAAAACATACTTCTTTAGTATACATCTAATAACCATCTAATTGACCTTGAAGTGAACATCACCAAGACCGAATTATTCGCACTGCACATTTTCTGTTTGTTTGTGTATTTGTTATGCTTCAAGGACAAGTTTTGGTGGATGGGTGGGTTAGGGTTATGCTTCAAGGCATGTTCAAGCCAGCCATCAGTGTGTTTTATGTCTGTGTTATAGGGTTCAAACCTCTGTGTTGTAGATATTGGAGACAAAGCCAGCCATCAGTGTGTTTTATGTCTGTGTTATAGGGTTCAATCCTCTGTGTTGTAGATATTGGAGACAAAGCCAGCCATCAGTGTGTTTTATGTCTGTGTTATAGGGTTCAATCCTCTGTGTTGTAGATATTGGAGACAAAGCCAGCCATCAGTGTGTTTTATGTCTGTGTTATAGGGTTCAATCCTCTGTGTTGTAGATATTGGAGACAAAGCCAGCCATCAGTGTGTTTTATGTCTGTGTTATAGGGTTCAATCCTCTGTGTTGTAGATATTGGAGACAAAGCCAGCCATCAGTGTGTTTTATGTCTGTGTTATAGGGTTCAATCCTCTGTGTTGTAGATATTGGAGACAAAGCCAGCCATCAGTGTGTTTTATGTCTGTGTTATAGGGTTCAATCCTCTGTGTTGTAGATATTGGAGACAAAGCCAGCCATCAGTGTGTTTTATGTCTGTGTTATAGGGTTCAATCCTCTGTGTTGTAGATATTGGAGACAAAGCCAGCCATCAGTGTGTTTTATGTCTGTGTTATAGGGTTCAATCCTCTGTGTTGTAGATATTGGAGACAAAGCCAGCCATCAGTGTGTTTTATGTCTGTGTTATAGGGTTCAATCCTCTGTGTTGTAGATATTGGAGACAAAGCCAGCCATCAGTGTGTTTTATGTCTGTGTTATAGGGTTCAATCCTCTGTGTTGTAGATATTGGAGACAAAGCCAGCCATCAGTGTGTTTTATGTCTGTGTTATAGGGTTCAATCCTCTGTGTTGTAGATATTGGAGACAAAGCCAGCCATCAGTGTGTTTTATGTCTGTGTTATAGGGTTCAATCCTCTGTGTTGTAGATATTGGAGACAAAGCCAGCCATCAGTGTGTTTTATGTCTGTGTTATAGGGTTCAATCCTCTGTGTTGTAGATATTGGAGACAAAGCCAGCCATCAGTGTGTTTTATGTCTGTGTTATAGGGTTCAATCCTCTGTGTTGTAGATATTGGAGACAAAGCCAGCCATCAGTGTGTTTTATGTCTGTGTTATAGGGTTCAATCCTCTGTGTTGTAGATATTGGAGACAAAGCCAGCCATCAGTGTGTTTTATGTCTGTGTTATAGGGTTCAATCCTCTGTGTTGTAGATATTGGAGACAAAGCCAGCCATCAGTGTGTTTTATGTCTGTGTTATAGGGTTCAATCCTCTGTGTTGTAGATATTGGAGACAAAGCCAGCCATCAGTGTGTTTTATGTCTGTGTTATAGGGTTCAATCCTCTGTGTTGTAGATATTGGAGACAAAGCCAGCCATCAGTGTGTTTTATGTCTGTGTTATAGGGTTCAATCCTCTGTGTTGTAGATATTGGAGACAAAGCCAGCCATCAGTGTGTTTTATGTCTGTGTTATAGGGTTCAATCCTCTGTGTTGTAGATATTGGAGACAAAGCCAGCCATCAGTGTGTTTTATGTCTGTGTTATAGGGTTCAATCCTCTGTGTTGTAGATATTGGAGACAAAGCCAGCCATCAGTGTGTTTTATGTCTGTGTTATAGGGTTCAATCCTCTGTGTTGTAGATATTGGAGACAAAGCCAGCCATCAGTGTGTTTTATGTCTGTGTTATAGGGTTCAATCCTCTGTGTTGTAGATATTGGAGACAAAGCCAGCCATCAGTGTGTTTTATGTCTGTGTTATAGGGTTCAATCCTCTGTGTTGTAGATATTGGAGACAAAGCCAGCCATCAGTGTGTTTTATGTCTGTGTTATAGGGTTCAATCCTCTGTGTTGTAGATATTGGAGACAAAGCCAGCCATCAGTGTGTTTTATGTCTGTGTTATAGGGTTCAATCCTCTGTGTTGTAGATATTGGAGACAAAGCCAGCCATCAGTGTGTTTTATGTCTGTGTTATAGGGTTCAATCCTCTGTGTTGTAGATATTGGAGACAAAGCCAGCCATCAGTGTGTTTTATGTCTGTGTTATAGGGTTCAATCCTCTGTGTTGTAGATATTGGAGACAAAGCCAGCCATCAGTGTGTTTTATGTCTGTGTTATAGGGTTCAATCCTCTGTGTTGTAGATATTGGAGACAAAGCCAGCCATCAGTGTGTTTTATGTCTGTGTTATAGGGTTCAATCCTCTGTGTTGTAGATATTGGAGACAAAGCCAGCCATCAGTGTGTTTTATGTCTGTGTTATAGGGTTCAATCCTCTGTGTTGTAGATATTGGAGACAAAGCCAGCCATCAGTGTGTTTTATGTCTGTGTTATAGGGTTCAATCCTCTGTGTTGTAGATATTGGAGACAAAGCCAGCCATCAGTGTGTTTTATGTCTGTGTTATAGGGTTCAATCCTCTGTGTTGTAGATATTGGAGACAAAGCCAGCCATCAGTGTGTTTTATGTCTGTGTTATAGGGTTCAATCCTCTGTGTTGTAGATATTGGAGACAAAGCCAGCCATCAGTGTGTTTTATGTCTGTGTTATAGGGTTCAATCCTCTGTGTTGTAGATATTGGAGACAAAGCCAGCCATCAGTGTGTTTTATGTCTGTGTTATAGGGTTCAATCCTCTGTGTTGTAGATATTGGAGACAAAGCCAGCCATCAGTGTGTTTTATGTCTGTGTTATAGGGTTCAATCCTCTGTGTTGTAGATATTGGAGACAAAGCCAGCCATCAGTGTGTTTTATGTCTGTGTTATAGGGTTCAATCCTCTGTGTTGTAGATATTGGAGACAAAGCCAGCCATCAGTGTGTTTTATGTCTGTGTTATAGGGTTCAATCCTCTGTGTTGTAGATATTGGAGACAAAGCCAGCCATCAGTGTGTTTTATGTCTGTGTTATAGGGTTCAATCCTCTGTGTTGTAGATATTGGAGACAAAGCCAGCCATCAGTGTGTTTTATGTCTGTGTTATAGGGTTCAATCCTCTGTGTTGTAGATATTGGAGACAAAGCCAGCCATCAGTGTGTTTTATGTCTGTGTTATAGGGTTCAATCCTCTGTGTTGTAGATATTGGAGACAAAGCCAGCCATCAGTGTGTTTTATGTCTGTGTTATAGGGTTCAATCCTCTGTGTTGTAGATATTGGAGACAAAGCCAGCCATCAGTGTGTTTTATGTCTGTGTTATAGGGTTCAATCCTCTGTGTTGTAGATATTGGAGACAAAGCCAGCCATCAGTGTGTTTTATGTCTGTGTTATAGGGTTCAATCCTCTGTGTTGTAGATATTGGAGACAAAGCCAGCCATCAGTGTGTTTTATGTCTGTGTTATAGGGTTCAATCCTCTGTGTTGTAGATATTGGAGACAAAGCCAGCCATCAGTGTGTTTTATGTCTGTGTTATAGGGTTCAATCCTCTGTGTTGTAGATATTGGAGACAAAGCCAGCCATCAGTGTGTTTTATGTCTGTGTTATAGGGTTCAATTCTCTGTGTTGTAGATATTGGAGACAAAGCCAGCCATCAGTGTGTTTTGTGCTGCTCCCACAGCAGTGAGGTTCCTGGTCCAGCACCCACTCCGTCAGTACAAACATGGGAAGCTACACTGTGTCAGTGCTGGGGAACCTGTGGTTTGTACATTGTCCTACAATGTGTACTGTTTTACCATCAGATTTATTCAAATCTGGCTCATTGGATTGATCACTACATAACTCCATTGCTAATTTGTTAATGTGGGCACAGTTCTCATGGCAATTGATGTGAACATAATTATATTTACCAATCTATGCAAAATTAGACTTTCTTGTTGATTCACACATAATTGTTTATTAATAATCTGTAGTTTAAGCTTTAAATGAATACAAAATATGTTGCTGTTATGTTTTATCAGACCCTTTGTCTTGTTTATGAGGTAATAACTGAGGATAAGCTAACATTTCACAGTTTAAATGAGTGTCACGTTTTGTAAATTTCCTGTACATGTGCTCCTGTTATAAACCAGACGAAATAGAAAGCCAAACCTTGAAGCAGTTTTTATTCTGTATTAATATTGGGAACTTTTGGCTATTCTGTGATATCATTGAGAACACATATAGATATCAGTACACACATGCACAGCATTCAACTAAGGTATTCTCTGAAGAACTTTCTGTTTGTGTGACATAGAACCCAGAGCTGCTGCAGGAGTGGAAAACAGGGACAGGACTGGACTTGTACGAGGGCTACGGTCAGACAGAAACAGTACGTTACAACTATCCTACTCTATAGTATATGTCACAATTAACTTTTTCTCCATAGACACCTATTGTGTGTCACAATTAACTTTTTCTCCATAGACACCTATCGTGTGTCACAATTAACTTTTTCTCCATAGACACCTATCGTGTGTCACAATTAACTTTTTCTCCAAAGACACCTAGCTATCGTGTGTCACAATTAACTTTTTCTCCATAGACACCTATCGTGTGTCACAATTAACTTTTTCTCCATAGACACCTATCGTGTGTCACAATTAACTTTTTCTCCATAGACACCTATCGTGTGTCACAATTAACTTTTTCTCCATAGACACCTATCGTGTGTCACAATTAACTTTTTCTCCATAGACACCTATCGTGTGTCACAATTAACTTTTTCTCCATAGACACCTAGCTATCGTGTGTCACAATTAACTTTTTCTCCATAGACACCTATCGTGTGTCACAATTAACTTTTTCTCCATAGACACCTATCGTGTGTCACAATTAACTTTTTCTCCATAGACACCTATCGTGTGTCACAATTAACTTTTTCTCCATAGACACCTAGCTATCGTGTGTCACAATTAACTTTTTCTCCATAGACACCTATCGTGTGTCACAATTAACTTTTTCTCCATAGACACCTAGCTATCGTGTGTCACAATTAACTTTTTCTCCATAGACACCTATCGTGTGTCACAATTAACTTTTTCTCCATAGACACCTAGCTATCGTGTGTCACAATTAACTTTTTCTCCATAGACACCTATCGTGTGTCACAATTAACTTTTTCTCCATAGACACCTATCGTATGTCACAATTAACTTTTTCTCCAAAGACACCTAGCTATTGTGTGTCACAATTAACTCTTTCTCCATAGACACCTAGCTATCGTGTGTCACAATTAACTTTTTCTCCATAGACCCCTAGCTATCGTGTGTCCCAATTAACTTTTTCTCCGTATACACCTATCGTGTGTCACAATTAACTTATTCTCCAAAGACACCTAGCTATTGGGTGTCACAATTAACTCTTTCTCCCTAGACACCTAGCTATCGTGGGACACAATTAACTTTTTCTCCATAGACACCTATCGTGTGTCACAATTAACCTTCTATCTCTATAGACATAGATGTTATGTCACAGTTAATTACCTATCAATTCTGATAGGTAGAGATTGTATATCGCAATTAACTTACTCTATATGTTCAGCGACACTACCTTACAATTAACGTAATCTCTCTTACTCTCTAGCTGTGTATGGTCAGCCAGACACATTAGGTCACACTTTCTTCCTTACTTTGTATGGTCAGAGATTGTATGTCTCACCTACTTCACTCTATCAACAGAGATGGTCAAATTTGTCTTGATTCATAAGCATGTTTCATGTCTCATAACCATTAACTTAAATCAAACTGAATCTGTTGATTTACAGACCTTTCTATGTGGAACATATCCTATGATGGAGAACAGACCAGGATCTATGGGGAAAGCTGCCCCAGGGATTGACTTAAAGGTACGTATGTAGGGTATCTTTATGGAGAGGGTTAGACAAAGAAAGTATCTTTGGAGCAACTGTTCCTATATATAATGCTATATAATGTATTTTAAGAGAGAGTGATGGAAATTTATAAAAGGAGAAATTCTTAGAATGTCTTTATCAGGAATAGTTGTATTAAGTTATGTACTTTTATTCTCATTAATTGTTTTGCAGATTGTGGACGACAATGGGGTAGAATTACCACCAAACACAGAGGGTAACATCGGAATCAATACCAACAACTACCGCCCCATAGGGCTCTTCTCTGGCTATGTGGTAAATATCACTATTAGGAACTGTTAAAGTGAACTAGATGTATAATTAATAATTACAAGCTTTATTGATCAATCTTATCTTACAATGTGTAGCATAGTTACTCTGACGTGTGTTATGTTATTGATGCCAGGGCGATCCGGATCGTACAGCCTCAGTGTTCCAGGGTGGATACTACTTGACGGGAGATCGTGCCAAGATTGACGAAGACGGATACGTGTGGTTCATTGGACGAGCTGATGATGTCATCCTCACATCAGGGTAGGTGAAGACCATACAAGGAAATGTTAGCCATAGTTTGATATTTGCCATTTTACTCACAGTTTTTATTACAAGGCAAAAATGTAATATGATAAATTATTAATTATGTTTCTAGAATGAGGGCAAAATAAAAACTGGTAAAAGTTTGTTTATTGTTGAAGGGTCAATGTTTATATGGCAAAAGATTCCTTGAATACACAATTTGTAAGTGTCCTGCCCCAATATGTGTGAAGTTATAGCCTTTTGTTCTCTGTACATTAGTTTCACTGGGACATAATTTGTAACTCATGGAACCTGTCGCATGTAATTGCCAAATTTTGTATCAAGTTTTTCTTTTACATCGAAGAGAATCACACACTGAAATCACATTTAGTTTAGTTTAAACATATTTCTTGACAAAGGCAAAAAGTTTGGGCATAAGTTACATTCGAACATTATGAAAGTCTTTTCCTTAATTCCTTATATACAGAGTTATGACCCTTTGTTTATTTGTTATGTTGTGGTTTGCATGGAGGTGTGGGACTATGGATAGATAGCTTGGTACTAATTTTGTTAGATATAACCAATACAAAGAAAATATAGACTTGTCTCTAAATACAGAATATATACACCTTTGTCTTTAATACCATGCAACCTTCCTAGATATAGCCAATACCAAATAAGTATATTTACAGTTTACCCCACCTTTGTCTAACAGGTACAGAATAGGGCCATTTGAGGTGGAGAGTTCACTGATAGAACACCCGTCTGTGTTAGAGTCGGCTGTGGTCAGTAGTCCCGACTCAGTCCGAGGAGAGGTGAGTAACCATGGGTGGATTTTCGTGACCTGGGTGTAGTGGTTCCTCTGTAATACAGATACTATATACCAGCTGGTCAGCATAAAGATAAGGTATGATGGTTTTGCAGTTAAACATACAATTTTTGTTTTGACAATTTGAAAATAAATTGATTTTGAAGTATTAAGGGGAATCCATCAGATACAAATTTGGTATTTATTGTGGTAAATCTTATGTATGTGTTGTGGAACTGGACTGGGTCGATCGTTGGCAACCAGGTAGCTCAACTGATAGATCATCTGCCTAGAGTTTGGAAGGTCCCGGGTTCGAACCCCGGTCTGGCCGTGCATTTTTCCTCTCCTGTAACATGTACATATGCAATTAGAGGTGTTGGTTTATATTACAACACATATACTATGTTGTTGGTTTGTGTTACAACACATATACTATGTTGTTGGTTTATATTACAACACACATACTATGTTGTTGGTTTGTGTTACAATACATATTCTATGTTGTTGGTTTGTGTTACAACACATATACTATGTTGTTG